GACTGCATAAAGCTAAACTATACCTATTGCTCGAAACAATGTTTTATCAATTGATAACAAGTTACTCATTTATAAATCCGTTCTCCTTCCATTACTACAGAGGTTGTTCACACATTAGATGATGTATCTTGTAGACGATGTATATTGTATTCACAAAACTAAATTACATAAATTTTTGTGTTTCGAATGTTCTCTTTGACATCCCTTTTTCTGAACTATCTTTCGACACCGCAATATCCTGGATAATAATGCCTTTTGAAGTGGCAGAAGAGATACTCTATCCCATTCCTCCCGAACAGCTTTCCAGAGTCCTGTTAGGGTTTTGGGACAACGTTTGGAGAATGCAGTTTTTAAAAGTCCGAAAGCACAAAAATCCATCGGGAGATTGAGTAGGGATATCAGTGAAGGGTATGGCCTTGATACCAGTTTTTTTTTTTTTTTTTTTTTTTTTTTTTGTTCCATTTCTTTTAGGAAATTTACAGTAGATTTTGATGTGTGACTGCTAGCTTTGTCCTGATGGAGTCTCACAGATGGATGGCACTGTGGGTAAAGCGATGGTATTTCATTCAGAGAAATGGGCGATAAAATATGTTTCTGATAGTATTTGGAGTTAATCTTCACATTTTTTTGCACTCTCTTTATTTTTAACTTGCCATTATAAGAAAAACCAGTAACAATCATGAATACCTTAGAAAAACTTTCTTTCGATTCTTTGAACCATGTACTTAAATTTTTTTCTCCCCTTTTATGATAATAAATGGCTCTTTTTTTGTTACAGTCATTTAAATACACCCATGCTTCATCTATTGTGACAATTGTTTTCCATTTTTCTTTGGATAATTGTTTCTCATATAGAATTCTGCAGCGTGTCCTGCGTTGAGCGATATGCTTTGGAAGAAGACGATGCACATTGCGTTTTTGGGTTTCTTAAGATTTAAACCAACGTTTATCATTTTGTTTACGGTGGACACCGAGTATTTTTATGCTTTTGCAACTGTCCTTTGACTAGCGGGATTTTCTTTTAACATTAAACAACGTACCTTTGCAATAGTCGAAGACGTCCGTTTTTTCTTGGATACTTGTTTGGAATTTTTGTCCCACTTGAGGCTCCAATTTGACGTTTTTGTTTTCCTTTCTTGTTGATGATATTACCTATCGACGCTTTAGATATTACAAAACCATGATTCTCACATCGTTTTTGGATAACGGAGTATGCATATTTCTCTTCGGAAAGAGCGTCAATGTAGCCTTCAAACCACTGCTTTGTTAAATTTCCCATTTCGATTAAAAACAAAACTTTCAAGCCACAGACGATAATTTTGACTTTTTAAAACATAGTACGGTTACAATTACTTCTTTTGCAGCAAACTATGTTTTATTACCGCTTACCAAAATCGTCTAAAAAATCTGCGAACAGATCTGTATGTTATGCTAATTCAGTTTGGGCCTATACCAAAAAGTGTAATAGGAAAAAATTACAGACTTGCCAACAGTCTGTTCTTAGTCAAATAAATAAAGCGGAGTGGTTTATCCGCAGCAACAGAATTCATGAAGAACTGGATATGGAGCAACTACCCTCACATTAATCTAAACTTTTTAAAAGCTTCCATGAAAGACAAAAAACAATTAACAACCCGGCCATTAAGATTTGCCATTATGACTGCAATGACCTAGCAAATATGGACAGGCCCATGGCCCAACTGAATGTATATGTTACCGTGAAAGGCCGAAATTGGAGAATGTCGACTTTCGCCGGAGAATGTCAACATTCACCAAATACGTCGGTGAAAGACCGAATATTTCACTACATTCTTGTATATTCGGACCCTCACCGGTGTATGTCGACAATCACAGATATGCTCTGGTGAAAGTCGAAAAGAGAGGTCATAACGTGCTATAAGAGTTTAAGTTGTTGCAATAAATAAGATTTGAATCACATAATTTAGTAAGTTTTTTTATGACTGTTATTTTATTTTCTCATTTAGCACGTTCTGTATAATTCAGTAAGTTTTTAACTTCTATTATTTTCCTTTCTCATTTTGAATGTATTGAGTGTTTTAGGTTCTCATGTTCTTAAGTTCTTATTTCAAGTCTCAAGTGCGTTTATTCGCGACTGAATGACGGAGAAGAAAATATAATATTGTTATATGTTTCACATTCACCATTAGCACATGGTGAATGTCGACATTGACCGGTGTAAGTCGACATTCTCCAGATTTCGGTGTTTCACCGTAACATATATATTATGTAATATTTATTATAATGTCTTGAAGGTTTTTGTTAACCTTCTCTTATTGTATATGCTATGCATTCGTTTTAGTCTTACGTTTGTAGTATTTATATCTTACTTATCGGATTCAAATTACCAGTGTTCGCCTAACCTTGCCTTCATCCACACGTTTACCATCTCGACGACTTCTGGTCTGCATTCATTTGGCACCGCTTAATACTTTATAAGGTATTTCTCCCGCCTTTTTAGCGTGCCTTCGTGGTGTAGTGGTCTGCATGCTGGGCGCGTATTCTAGAAGACCGTGGTTCGATTCCCGGAGGCGGCGTTGCTCATTTTTCATCTCTCCTGCTTCCAAAAAAATACCTTATGTCCCTATAGCTTTAATTAGCATTCTATAACTTATGGTTTAAATAATATGAATTCTAAATTGTAAATTATTCACTTTAAAAACTGTATTATAAAAAAAATTACCTTAGATATTTTTTAGGTTATTTCATCATACTATTCGCAATTCTTATACTGTTCTACAAGGGGTAGAGCCTTATCGCTAAAGTACCCTTGTGTACCAAACACAGTTCCCGCTCCTATTAACTCTTTTTTTTTTTTTTTTTTTTTTTTTTTTTTTTTTGTCTTTTTAGCTTTATTAGTAAGAATAATTTTCTTTGCAATTACGCCATATACAATTCAACAGCAAAATTAGAAAAATTTTAAAAGCTGCATAGTGTACGTCCAGAATTCCAGATGAAGCGTTAATGTGTTGGCATACATTTTTTTTAATCTTTTCTTAGTTCCTCATATCAATGTTCAGGTTTCTTACTAGAAATGATTTACAAAACTCATTTTTTTTTGGTCTTTTTATTATTAGCATTTTGTGTACTTACTTATATTACATAAATATAACATGATATTACTTATATTACATGAAATGAAAAATCATGTTATTATGTTTATTTTTATCATGTTATTTATGTCATATAAAATTCGATATTCCACTGTAAAATCACAGGATATTTAAAAACAGCCTATCTTTAGAATTTCGGAACAGACAGTCTCACTGGCTGGAAATAAAAATATTTTATTCCGTATAGTGTTGCCACTGCTCGCTTTGAAATCATTAAGATTGCTAATCAGGATATTTTTGAGGTATTTATTTCTGGGTAGATCGTTGTGAAAATTATAAATGAATGTAATTATTTTGAAAATGAATTCTTATTCGCAGAATTTTATAGAATTTGTGCTCTAGAAAACAATATTTGTAGACTCGCAACATGATTTACATAAACAAAGAATAAAACTATTTCTAGTTTAATAAATATTTTTCGTAATTATTCAAATATTATTCTAAAGTAAGAAAAGTTCAAGAGAATATTAATAGTATAATTTTAGAGTTTCAAAGCTGTTAAATCACTCGCGCTAAAATTATTTCTGAAAATCTGTTGTAAAAAATTCTAAATTACGGAATGCTACACACTAGTAAATATATAGCAGTTTAATACATAGAAAAATATATTGATAGAGAGATATATAGATAGATATATTCTAGCCCTGTTTCCCGGCTCAACGAGCTCAATATTTTTATTCTTATATGTTGGTAAGTTGTGCACTTTTTGCGTTAAAAGTTATTTAATTATTTTGTTCTTATGCTCCGTTAAACGTTTTTATGCCTTTTAATCAGCAAGCAATAGTTTTAGAATTATCAAAAATTTAAATGTGACGCTAGGCCTAAGAGGCCCAGATTTGCTTACATTTGAAACTGTAAGTAGAGTAGTGAATGAAGTCAGTGGGCGCACCAACTTTAGTGTCTTTTTGCCCAGTGGGACCAGGAAGATAGCTTTCAATTCTGTGCACCGAAAATTTGGTTTTCCTGCCATTTGGTTGAATTGCTTGAAATTCGGGGAAAGAATTTTAAGGGGTATCAGAAACCCCTATACCGACAATGTTAAATTGGACATTTTCGATGTACCTTTTCTCAAAATCTGCTGTAGATACAAGCTTGAATTTTTTTCTGTAATTAAAGTATACCTATCTGATTATACTGAAATGAGCTTTTGAAACATTTTGAATTTTAGAGTAAATTACAGGATATTTTGTTAGGCATAGTAAAATTTAGCACTTTTCTCACACAAAAAAATTTTAAAAATTGTTTTTTCTAAGTTTATTACAAAAAGCTCGTTTCAGTAAATATTAGGGAACCTAATAAATAAGCCATAAAAAGTTTAGATACCTGTGAGCAGTAGTTCCTGAGAAAAGGTACATCGAGTATAAAAGAATCACGTTTGGAGAAAAACGCGTTTTTATGTAAAAATCCTCATTGATAAAAGCAGTAGATAACAAATTAAAACTAGATTTGTTTTACAGCTCTAAATTTTCATAGAGATTAAAGAATGGTATTTTTAGAAAGATAAAAGTGTAGAGAATTTGAAAATGCAAAAATCCGAAATCACAATCTTTTGAAGATTTTGGAGTTCCAACTCCCCTTAATGCAGTGCAGCAAAAAATATGCATAATTTAATATGCCGTACAAGGAAGTCATGTAATGTCCACGTCATGCATTTTAATTTAGAATTGCCAAAGAATGAATATTTGCGTCATTTTGAACACTTTTGTATTTGGAATTATATTATATATATATATATATATATATATATCTCCAATTCATGGGCTTTGATATATTTTATTTCTATACTTACTTTTAATGCATGTTTTAATGTTCTAATGTTTATTTTGAATGTGGGATAATTTTTATGATAAAATGTTTCCTATCTTTTAGGCATAGTGTGCGATCTGCAATAGACGTGGTGTCCGAAAGCGTGAAGTACTTAGATGGTAATCTGTGGTTAGTTGACAGAGGAAATCAGTCCAATATCAGTTGCTGGAACAATACGTCCGAATACAGAATGAGACTCACAAAAGCTTTGCACAGGTAAGTGCTTTAAAAATGTTTTTCTTAGAATTCTAGTCTTCAGGGAATCTATTTAAATCTAGTGTCATATTTTATGAAAAGCTCGTTTGTAACCTAAAATATATTTTTTGTGAATTATTGTTGTCTAGTAAGTCCCAGATTCTCGAATAAACGACTGCATGAAACTCGCTATGTGTGAATTGCGTGGAAACGAGAATAAGAATATTAAAAAAAAAATAGAGAATACATCCAACTTTAAAGCTATATATACATTTTGAGACGTATGTACTAGTTTGACTGAAATCACTAAATCGAGCGTGTTACCAACCTTTGAGATAAGTAAAATAATATTCTGGCTCAAATCATTTTTCATACTCCAATTATTAACATTTGGGACAAAAAAAAATAAAATTCTGGCTCAAGTCCATTTCTCATAATCCCGTTTCTAATCTTTGGGATAAGTAAAATAAAATTCGGGGTTAATTATTCTTAGTCCAGTCATTAATTTTTAGGATAAGTAAAATAAAATTCTGGCTCAAATCATTTTCCGTATGCCAGCTGCTAACCTTTGGGATAAGTAAAATAAAATTCTGACTCAACTAATTATTCACATTTTAATCATTAACCTTTGCGATAAACAAAAATAAAATTCTAGCTGAGATCATTTTCTTACCCCAGCTGCTAACCTTTGGGATAAGTAAAATTAAATTCTATCTCAAATCATTATTCACACTCTAATCATTATCCTTCGGGATAAGGAGAATAAAATTCTGTCTCAAATAATTTTTCGTACACCAGTTACTAAACTTTGGGATAAGTAAAATAAATTCCAACTCAGATCATTTTTCGTATCCCATTTACAAATCTTTGGAATAAGTAAAATAAAATTCTTGACCAAATAATTATTCACACTCTAATCACTCTGGGATAAAGGAGAATAAAATTATCGCTCAAATAATTTTTCATATCCCCAGTTGCTAATCTTTGGGATAAGTAAAATCAATTATAGCCCAAATAATTATTCAAACTCTAATCATTAACCTTCGGAATAAAGGAGAATAAAATTCTGGCTCAAATAATTTTTCATACCCCAATTACTAACCTTTGGGATAAGTAAAATAAATTCGAACTCAAATCATTTTTCGTATCCCATTTACAAATCTTTGGAATAAGTAAAATAAAATTCTGGCTTAAATAATTATTCACACTCTAAAAATAAAATTCTAGATGAGATCATTTTTCTTACCCCAGCTACTAACCTTTGGGATAAGTAAAATTAAATTCTATCTCAAATCATTATTCACACTCTAATCATTTAACTTCGGGATAAATGAGAATAACATTCTGGCTCAAATAATTTTTCATACACCAGTTACTAACCTTTGGGATAAGTAAAATAAATTCGAACTCAAATCATTTTTCGTATCCCATTTACAAATCTTTGGAATAATTAAGATAAAATTTTTGACCAAATAATTTTTCACACTCTAATCATTAACTTTGGGATAAAGGAGAATAAAATTCTCGCTCAAATCATTTTTCATACCCCCAGTTGCTAATCTTTGGGATAAGTAAAATCAGTTCTAGCCTAAATAATTATTCATACTCTAATCATTAACCTTCGGAATAAAGGAGAATAAAATTCTGTCTCAAATAATTTTTCATGCCTTAATTACTAACCTTTTGGGATAAGTAAAATAAATTCGAACTCAAATCATTTTTCGTATCCCATTTACAAATCTCTGAAATAAGTAAAATAAAATTCTGGCTCAAATAATTATTCACACTCTAATCATTCATTTTGGGAAAAAGCAGAATAAATTTCTTACTCAAATCATTTTTCATACCCCCAGTTACTAGTCTTTGGGATACGTAAAATAAAATTCGGGCTTAATTATTCATAGTTTATCATTAATCTTTAGAATAAGTAAAACAAAATTCTGGCTCGAGTCATTTTCCATACTTTGCGATAAGTAAAATAAAATTCTGGCTCAAATCATTTTCCATATGCGAACTAATAACGTTTGGGATAAGTAAAATAAAATTCTGGCTCAAATAATTATTCACACTTTAATCATTAACCTTTGCGATAAACAAGAATAAAATTCTAGCTGAAATCATTTTTCCTACCCCAGCTACTAACCTTTGGGATAAGTAAAATTAAATTATATCTCAAATCATTATTCACACTTTAATCATTTAACTTCGGGATAAATGAGAATAAAATTCTGGCTCAAATAATTTTTCGTACACCAATTACTAACCTTTGGGATAAGTAAAATAAATTCGAACTCAAATCATTTTTCGTATCCCATTTACAAATCTTTGGAATAAGTAAAATAAAATTCTGGCTCAAATAATTATTCACACACATTAACTTTGGAATAAAGGAGAATAAAATTCTCACTCAAATCATTTTTCATACCCCCAGTTGCTAATCTTTGGGATAAGTAAAATCAATTCTAGCCTAAATAATTATTCATACTCTAATCATTAAATTTTGGAATAAAGGAGAATAAAATTCTGACTTATTCATATTTCATACTCCAGTTACTAACCTTTGGGATAAGAAAAGTAAATTCTGGCTCAAATAATTATTCACACTAGTTTTCTAATTCGTTTGGGGGCCAATGAATTATAATTATATTTAAAACGGATTCAGAAGACAAGTTTTTGTGCCTCCGTTCGTGCATACCTTTGTATTTATCTCGAATAATTCAAAAACGAATATACTCTCAGAACTTTGAAATTTTATCTGTGTGACTGCTATAAAATGTAGATGGGGACCACCCTTTTTTGGTTGCAATCGACCGCACCAAAACTATATATATATATATATATATATATATATATATATATACATATACATATATACATATATATCCACTCGGTTATATCACATTCAGCTTAGTTCTTTATTCTTATACGTTTGTAAATTGTGCATTTTTTATTTATTTATTTATTTATTTTTTTTTTTTTGGTTTAAAAATCATTGAATTATGTTGTTCTTATCTTATGGTTAAGGTTTTTATGCCTTTACTTAACCTGCATGTTAAAGATTAGAATTATCAAAATAACGTTGTTAAGTGCAGCTAACCCTAATTTTTACATAGCACCATACCTGGTGACAAAGTCATGTGATAATATGCAAATAACAATGGAGTGTATCGTAGAGTATCATCAAATCTTTGGCAGATTTCTCCTCATTCCTGTCGCTGAGCTCCTAGAGACAAGACAGGGATTTTTTCTGCTCCTGCTTGCTTTGGTGTTCGCCCTTGCATTCCAGCACCGAACCGCCTTGTTTTTGTTTTCTCTCGAGGACTCCGGCTGCGGACCGCTCCTTGGACTACTAGTTCGGACCGACTTCTGCAAAAAATGCGGTAAGATCTCTCCTTTTGTTCTCTGTACGTCAGTGCAATGGCAAACGGTCAGATTACTAAGCATTTATTTGATTTATGTCAATTCTCCAATTTTGGTATCACTGATACACATATTGAGGAATTTGATCTTAAAAATGATAGCAACATATCCGCTTTTGTGTGGATAGTCACTACAATTGGCAAACCCACTTTCGAAACTATTTGTAATTTAAAGGAACAACTCTTAGATGAGTTCAAAATTCTAAATGCAGCTCCTCAAAAAAATGAACAGATCGTTAACGAGCTAGATACCATCACTGCAAAATTAAAAATCTGCGACATGTTTATAAGCGTGAATAATCCCTTAAAAAGATGCAGCAGTAACCCGGCTGTAAATAACATTCACATAAAAGGATCTGACAAAAAATGCAATTCAAATAGTAATTCTCCACAGAAAGCTACTTTGAATTCCCAACCACAAAAACAAATTGTACAACAGAACAATTCTGTCCCCAACTCCCCACAAAAACAGAATCAACACACGAATGACCTGGAAAGAGATATCCCACCAAACAACCCCATAAAACGCACACATAGCGACAAAAACAGAAAAAAGAAAACAGAAGTTGACAGCGAAGGATTCAAAACCCCTCGCATCACGAATAAACGAACATTTTCCGAAACGGAAATCACACCTCCTCTCCAACAAAATAAATACGAAAAATTAAACAATGAAGAAATGATGGATCAAAACAACGCAAATAATACTAAGAAGAATTTATCATCCCAAAGAAAACTGCCTCACACATCCCACCTATCGTCCTGCAGGACTTTACGGCGAATTGGGACAGAATGAAAAGAAGAATTTGAAACAATTGGAATCACAAAAATTAAAAGGAAATTTAAAAGGGGACACCCTTACCATAAGAGTATTTGATCCCGAAGATTATCGTAAAGCCACCGAATTGCTTACTAAACGGGATATTCCATACCATACGTATAAACTTAAAAGCGAAAAACCTTTAAAGGCCATTATCAAAAAACTCCCAAGAACCTCAAACCCGGAGATCATAAAAAAGAAATCGCCAGTATGGGCATCCCCATCACAAAAATAAAACAAATAGAAAAATTTGAAGACGGCAAAATTATTAAATTACCGGTTTTCCTCGTGGAAACCAAAAGAAACAACGAGGGGAAAAAGATATTTAACATCACTTCACTACGTGGACTTGATGTTTTGGTATGCTCGTATAAAAGTCGCCCAGGACCAGTTCAATGTCATAAATGCCAAAGATACGGGCATATTAAGGAAAAGTGCAATTACAAACCAAGATGCCAAAAATGCGCAGGCCCTCACGAAGGGTATACATGCAAACAGGACAAAAACTTACACTCCGCAAAATGTGCCTTATGTGGTTTAGACCACGTAAGCTCTTCAAAACTGTGTAAATTCCACCCTAACAATATCAAAAAAGCAATAGAAACTCGTAAAACGGAAAATGCTCAACCACCTCAACCTACATTCCAACTCAATCAAGAAGATTTCCCTGCTCTACCAACGGCAGCACAAAATACCAGCACGCAAGCGGCTGTATCCGCTCCTCCAACCCAGAAACAGAATCAAGAACCGGAACCTCCCTCCTTCTGCGAGTGGATTAAATT